TAAGGTGCCACCAGACTCCTTGTTGTTTTTGATACTAAATAAGTTTACATCTGAGTTAACTAAGGCCTATGGAGGCTAGGTGACTTATTTAGAATACACAGTCATTCAATTTCAAAGGCTGGATTTGTTTGCCTGAAACATCCTAACCACTTAGTAGTGTTGATCATGCTGGGAAAGGGTTAGCCTTACACAGTGAGGCAGGTGGCTTCTTTATGGAGGTGGGAGTGGTTCTCTCTAGAGAGTCAATCTGGAATGGGGACTGAGCAACTAAGTGCATAGCAGTAGCCAAGCTTAAAAAGGACTGAATAAACTATTTGTAATTTGACTGTTAATTTCTCTGAAAATAAAAATAAAGCCAAATGCCAGGAAGATGGTAAATTTTTTACTTTACACAAAATGTGTAGCTTTTTTTTAATATCAAGTTATAAAACACGTCTTCTCAGAGCCAGTAGTAATGGTCCACAGATAAATGCCAAATTAAAAAAAGAGAAAAATCCAATATTTTTAGAAAACAGATTTTTTTCCATTAAACAATTTAAATACAAACCAATAATTCTTTCTCCATATTTTTCAAAGATTGGGAATCTTTTTCAAAACTCTCAAGCTCCTCTACGATGGTGAAATGAAATTTGTCCAGCTGCTTGATCCTACCAAAACAGAAATAAACTGAAAATAAAAAAGCATTTATGTCATTCAAAAACTTATTTGAATGAGTATTGTGCTACAGACCTGCATTCATGCAACTGACAACTCACTGTTGTCAAATGCTGCTGAGCTGTTTTCAAGGATTGCTTGGTAAAGTGGTCCATTCTTCTTGAGCGGCTCTAGAAACATATGCATTAAGATTACTTTCAGTTTAATTGACTAGCTGAGAAGAGAATGATAAAATACTGTATTATAAAACATAACCATTGTAATTACTTATATAAGATCATAGGTTACAGTGGACAAAAGTCAACATTAACCTTCATATCAGGTACATTCCTTTTGCTTTCCCTTGAAAATGCACCAAAATTTAGTTGAATTATAAAAGTCTCTGAAAAATCACTGTTTGAATATACTTATTAGAGGTTAGTTAGAGGCTGATAGCAAAATTCTACAAGTGTTCTGTCTTCATTGAGCATGCTCCACCTCCAGAGAGCTCACTGAGCATGGTCTTTTCATGTGTTTGTTCATGTCAGTGGCAGCTGCATACCAGACTTGAGAGTAGGGAGACTCTCTCTCTCTCTCCTATGCTCTCAATGCTCCCCTGCAGTGCCCAAGTGAGTAGAAAAGGAGGAAGTAGCAGGACTTGAATGAAGAGAAGGCGCTACAGGGCAGGAGAAGGTTGGAATTGGAGAAGGAGGAACAAGGATAGGCTGGGAGGGGACAAGAGCAGAGAGGGACAGACACATGGGACACAAGCTGGAGGAAGACATACTAGGGGACACAGGGACAAAAGGGTCTAAGCACTGGAACACCCCCCCCTCTAGAACCCAGAATGGAAGTTAGGATTCAGTCTGAACATTCTTCTGTTGTCAACAAACATTGTGAAATTCACTGGCAAAGTGTCTCTCATTTCCCTCTAGTAAATATCAACTACTCTATAACTCAGAGAGGTCTTTGCTGTGGATTTAAAGGTTCCAGCTCTGTTGATGGATCCATATCTAGGGTAAATACAGTTCCGCATAATGGAATTTGTTTTTTCATTTTGTGTTTTTAAAAAGCTAGGAAATTACATTGGAAAAAAAAAACCTATGTAACTTGAACATTGTTTTATCTAAGTCAAGTCATGCCAGAATTGAGATTTCCTGATGAACCTTAATTTGTTTGTCCTATGCATATATATTATGATATAGTCTTTATTACATGATCACATACAATTTTTTCCACAGGACCCATGCTTCATTCAATGCACAGGATGAACAGAACTCAGGCAGTGAAACAAGGTTGTTGAGCAAACATGATTCTGGGATGTATTAACAGGTGTGTTGTGAGCAAGACACGAGAAGTCATTCTTCCGCTCTACTCTG